CCCCGCCCCCCCGACCCAAGCGCGCCTTCATCCCCACCGACGCACACACCGACGGGCGGCCCATGTCCGCCGGCGTCAACGCCCTCATCGACCCCGAGATGAGGAGAACTTTCAAAGAGAACGGCCTCTTCACCACACCCACCACCACCACCACCACCACAAGCACCAGCAGCACACCTGACTCTCCTGCGTCGGCTGCTAGCGCCCCTTCTGCTGCAGCTGGTGGTGGTGGTGGTGGGTCATCGCCCTCGTCTCCTCCCGGCCAGCGTACGGTCAACCGTTCGGCTGCTGCTGGCGGCGGGGATCCGGGTGGCGAGCCCTCGGTGGTGCGCAAGAGCAGCATCCCCAAGCACGCCAAGGACAAGGCCAAGGACGTTCCGGCCAGGCCAAAGGCAGGCACCCCCGCGGTGCCTCCGTCCGACCACATTTTTGACCTCAAGCAGCAGGAGGTTCCCAAGCGACGGTCCCCAACCGCCGCACCGCCCCCACCCCCACCGCCCCCCAAACCGTCGCGTACGTCGGGCGGGCCGTCGCTCAGCCGGTCGGCGTCTGTGAGTGAGGGGACGCAATCCTCTCGTCCACAGGAGCCGCCGAAGGAGACCTTTCTGCAGCGTCGCCTGCGTGACCTGGCGCTCATTGCCGACCCGGCCCATGCAGATCGGCATCTGGACCCCGAGGGCCACAGACGGCGTGTAGAGGAGGAGAAGTACGAGCGGTTTCGGCAGCAGCAGGCGGCGTACCTGAGGAGCATTGGGCTGTCCGACTTTGACAGGAGCATCGCTAAGTTTGACAAGATCGTCAAGGAGAGGGAGGCCAGGGAGGCACGAGCAGCCAAGGCGGCCAAGGCCGAGGCCGCATCGGCATCGGCATCAGCCTCAGCCTCCACGGCGGCATCGTCCGCGTCAACCCCATCGCATGAAGAGGGAGCTGCCCGTCAGAGACCGGCTTCTGCCACGCCAGGCACTTCTCGTGAGCGGTCCCCCTCCCCCCCGCCCCAGCGCTTCTCTGAAGCCTCTCAGCGCGCCATGGCCGCGCGTGAAGGTGCCAGGGTGGCCACCCCCGGAGTGTATCAGGGGTTCGGCGCACCATCGGGAGCCGCTGCTCCGCCGCCCCAAGGGCCCCTGACGCGTGGGACGGAGCGGACGAGCATGTGGGCAGCCATGTGGGGGCCGGGGAAGCGGAAGCCTGTGAGTGGGGGTTACGCGCCGACGGGCATCCAGGTGGGCCCCAAGCCGGCCTTCACGCCCAACGGTGTGATCAGGGAGCCGTTGGTGACCATTTGGGAGAAGACCAAGGAGGAGGCTGCCAAGGAGACCCTCAGAGATGACGGTAAGACGGATAAGACGGCAAAGGCAATACTGTATGTGCATGCATCTCCCTCCCTCTCTCTCTGTCTGTCTGTCTTTCTCTCTCTCTATGCTGTCTATGTCTGTGTGGTTGATTCACTCCATTTACTGCAGTAGCGTCGCCGAGTGTGAGTGAGGTGACCCTGACGGCCGACGATTCCGGCCACAAGGTGCGGGTGTCCCAGACGGTTTTCGACGCCTCCTGCGACAAGTTCACCACCGAGCAGCTCAACAGCCCGCCCTCGCCCATCTCGCCTGCCACCATCCAGGTCATCGCGGCAAAGGCTGCGGGTGAGCCACAGGGCATTCTGACCGCCGCGGACGACTTCTCCGACGCAGACATGGCGGCGGCAATCACCAGCCCCCCCAAGCGGCCCGCGTCACCCAAGGCCATGCACTTCGGGGGCGGCGCCACCACGCCCCTGGTGCCCACCACATCATCGCAACAGGACGAGCCGCTCGAGCAGCAGCAGCAGCAGGATCAGGATCAGCAGGCAGGAGCGGCATCGTCAGCAGCGACGGCCAGCAGCTGGTGGGGATTCCTGGGCAGGGCTGGGTTTGGGTGGAGTGTGAGTGCGAGCGCGACGGTGGGGGCTTACGATGCGGCTAGAGATGATGACAAGGACAAAGAGAGAGAGAGGGAGGAGCAGCTCGACGAGGAGCCGGAGCCGATGCCCGTGCCCGAAGTCGAGAAAGGTGAGCTTTGCAGAGAGACGAAGCCGCCCCCACCACCTCGCCCTTCATCTCTCTTTCTCTCTCCCTCTGTGTGTGTGTGTGTGTGTGTGTGCAGGTCAGCTTGCGCACGACAACGACTCGTCTGGTCACTCGAGCGCCCCGAGTGAGCCGTCGTGCACCGCCGAGGCGCCCATCCCCCCCTCCCTCAACTTCGCTCCCCGACTGTTTGACAAGACTGTGTCGCCCAGCGGCACGCCCACCAAGAACACCACACCCACACAGGTGGCCATCTCCTCCGGCCCCGTCCACGACTGGCAATCCGCATCCGCCGCATTGCCCCCATGGGCTCCTGGGGCCACACGTACGTACAGCAAAGGCCACACACGCGCACACACACACAGCGACACCAAGCGCACACCATCATGGGTATGTCTGCTCTGCCTGCGTGTGTGTCTTGTGCCCACCACTGTCCATCAGAGACCACCACCCCCGAGTTGCGTCGCGTGCCTATCGGCTCGCCCCACCAGGAGGTGCTGCAGGAGATTGCGGCGGAGGGCCACTGGCTGTCGCCCAATCGGATCAGATCTGATGGGCAAGACGCGCGCTCACCGTTCAACGTGGAGAGTGGAGTGCGGCCGCCCGAAACGATGAATGCGTTTAAATTGGAGGCGGGGGAGGGCGACATCGACGAGGCCGGCGAAAGATCACCACCGGAGGCGCAGTACTTCGACGCGCAGTCGAACGCTGGCAACGAACCACCTACCGTCGACCTCAGTGTCTCCAGGTCGGTGGGTAGATGCGATGCGCATGGGAAAGGCGGGAGAAAAGTTGAAGCAAGAATGCGCCTCTCTCTCTCTCGGTGTATGTGGTTGTGTGCTGTGCAGCCCTCGTCCGTTGGCCAATCCCCCGCCCAGCGCGGTCACAGCAGACTTCTACTCCGTGGTCAGTGAGGAAGCGGGCAGCCCGTCCGAGGGCCGCGACCGCAGCCTCTCCCCCGCCAAGACCAAGTGCTGCCTCAAGCCGCCCCTCCCCTCTCGCAAAGGAGGAGGAGGAGCCCACGACGCCCCCGACGGCCCCGTGGCGCCCCCCGTGACACCCATCCCCGCCACCACACCCACTAGCGCACCCATCAGACAGGGACCGGGCCAAGACACCAAGGCGGGCGGCAGGGGTATCTTGCGGCTCTTCCGCCGCAGGCCGTCCAAAGTCGGTGCAGACGATCCAGCGGCGGCCAATCGGAAGGGCGGCCGGAGGGGTCGCGAAAAGGAACGTGGTGGCGATGGCGTTGCGTCGCGTCACAGGCGTCGATCGAGCAGCCCCATTCGGTTCGGCGGCTGGAAGCGGGGCAAGGGCAAGGAGGCGCGTGGGCTGCTGGCTGGGGCGGAGGGGGGCGGTCCGGATGACACCACCAGCAGGAAGGTCACGAGCGACTGAGTGAGACGATGAGCGGCTTACCGATGGATGGATGGATGGATGTGTGGATGAGAAAGGGCTGTGTGTGTTTGAAAGAGACGCATGGATGGATGGATGGATTGATGTATACCGACAGGATGGTTGGGACCTCCTGTGTGGGTGGGTGGGTGGGAGGATAGGTGGTAAGGGTCGCACAGCACACATTCGCCGTGGCTCCAGGGTGGGTTAGCGGGAATCGGCGAGCGAGTGGGTGCGTTTTGCATCGGTGTCTGTCTGTCTGTCTTAGTGTGCTGTAGGGTCTGACTGTGCGTCATGCGAGGGATGGGCACACATGTGTGCGTGTCCCTGCATGTGTGTGTGTGTCAGCGTATCGGAGGGGACTTTGCTGCCTGTCTGCCTACCGTACGTAACTCATTTGCTGTATTCTCTACGTAATGTACCATGTGTTTTCACCCACTTGCTCAGCGACAGACAGACAGACAGACAGACCAGACCCGCGGACAGACAGGCCGGCGTTTTGCTCGGATCTTTCGATTTTCGTTGCCCTCTGTTGTATTGCGTTGCGCGGTGGCCCTGTACAGCTCGCAATCTAGACAGAGAGGGAGGGGGGAAGGTGTGGGTTAATTTGCTTTGCTGGTCGGTCGGTCGGTCGGTCGGTCGGTGGGTTGGGGGTGTGGGAAATAACTAACGGACGGGGCTTGCATTGCACCACCCGGCTGGCCCCGTACCCGTATTTAAATTATTATTATTATCCACAACCTCTCGACGACATGCACAACACCGCTTCTATACTCCATATGGATGACGGGAGGGAGGGAGGGAGGGAGAGGATGATTGGTGCCTTTCTGCCTGCCTGCCTGCCGTGGGTGTGAGTGTGGGTGTGAGTGTGGGTGTGAGTGTTGTAGCCATTTTTTCTTCCTGCCTTGCTATTGCCCTTGCCGTTGCTGTTGCTCGTGTGTGTGCTGCATCCACACACAAGCATGCTGCAACGGCAGCGTGCGTGCGTGTGAGTGCGTGTGCACACGCACTCCCTTCTGGGGAGCCGCCCGCCCGACTGACTAAGGAAGCTCCCTCCCCCTGTAGACGTATCCCATGCTGTCTGCCATTGCCTGCCTGCCTGCCTGCCTCACCCCACCCGCCCATGTCTGTCTGGATCAGATCAGTACACACTGTTTTGCCTAGCGCTTGTTGCTCGTTGGTTGCTACCCTGTGGCTGTCTGTCAGAAGAAAGAGTGATTGATCGGGGTGTGGGTGTGGAGGGAGGGATTGCTGTGTCATGCTCTCATGTGAGTGAGTGGCTTAGACCAACCAGTTGGGTGGGTGCTGTTGTTTGTCTTTGTTTGTGTTGGTGTGTGTGTTCTCTCTCGTCGCGTGTTCTGCTCGCGTGGCGGGCCCTCAGCGAACCGCAAGCAGACTGCTCACATGCAGTCTCCCTGTTGTTTGAAGGGTGGCTGTCACACCACCGACGCGCAGCGAGAGAGAAACACCGCTGGCTGGCTGGCTGGCTGGCTGGATGGATGGATGGATGGACTGACCGGGTGTAGGTAGGTGTTTCTGATTGGGTGTGCGCTTCCCCGTTCGCTCTGCCGGTGCCATCGGTTGTGTCGCATGATCATGTGACATGACGGATGGCACCGGCATGGCGGACGAAGAGCCGCACACAGCTCGTCGAAACCCACACGCCCCAGTGGATGAGAGGACGCAAGACAGACACACCAGACACACACCTCTTTTGGCGCACCTGCAGGTGACGTACGGACCAAATTGAATGAGACACTCAATCGCCAAGTCTACCGAACTGAACGAACGGACTAAACTCCTTGCTAACAATGACTCACAGGCACTGCAGAGATGAGTACGATTGCATAATTCCCCTCTGCAATGATTTGCATCCACGGCCAGTGGCCATCAGTTTCACGGTGTAAGATCCGACAGAGAAAAAAGGTGGCCTTGCAGCCTTCAGTCCGTGCTCTGCCGCCCTCAGATCTCTCCGCCATCTCCTTCCTTCCGTCCTCTGCAAGGCCACCAACCCCTCCCTGATCTGCGCGAACACCCTCTCTGCGCCGTACCCACGATGAAAGGCATCCGCAGCGGCATCATCGGTCTGGTCATCGTCGGGCTGTCGTCCACACACGCCATCTCCACCCTGCCCCGCTCGTCTCACGTCGCCATGACGCCCCTCCGCAGCATTGCACGTGTGCCGCGGGCAACGGCCGTCCCGCTGCTGTCTCAGATCCGCCAATCGTACTTGCGGGCGACCCAGGCGCAAAGAAAGGTAAACGTCACCGAGACACGGGCACTGGGAGGAGGTCATGTCTCTGACCGTCTGTGTGGGTGTGGTGCTGTGTGTGGATGTGTCAGCTGGTGAGCCTGATTGGTGCGGTGAAGGTCTCAGCGCCCAAGGCGGACAAGGCGGAGAGCGTCATGGCGCCTGCGGCTGTGGGTGGGGTCGAGAAGAGGGGCAGGCGTGTTGCCCTGTCGGCAGCGGCCAGCCCTCCCGCAACCGTGATGCAGAATGAGCCCTGCTACGACGCGTCCCTCGCCATCCACGGCGTCCTGTGCTCTCGCAAGATGTGAAACGGAGGGGGAGGGAGGGGGGAGGGAGGGAGAGAGAGGGGTGGGGAGAGAGCCATTGCATTGCATGTGTGTGATGCCAGTCCTTTTTCTTTCCCGAGTGGCGACCCCTGAGTGAGTAGTCCAGCATAGCATCGCCAGATCAGATCCGCAGAGGCAGGAATTCACGACTTTGTGTCTGTGCGGGTCGGTCGGGAGAGGCTGGCTGGCTGACTCAAGCACTCACTCACGGGCTGCCTGCCTGCCTGCCTGGGAGTGTGTCTGTCTGATCTTTCTGTGCTTGTCTGTCTGTCTGTCTGTCTGTCTTTCTGTCTGTCTGCCTGCCTGCCCGCCTGAAGCGCTTGATACGATACGCGTTCGCAACTGCGGCAATGGTGCCGCATTCACTGCCTTCTTGCGGCGCGTCTCCATACCATCCCTGTCCCGTCCCAGCTGTCTGGCTACGTCACGTCACGAGTTTTTCGCGATGGACACAACCTGCTGTCTGCCTGACTGATAGCTGCTGTCACGTCACATCTAACTGCGTGTCACATGGACGGTTGAATTCAGAATGCTATCGGCCTGGCAGTGAGTCTGATCACACCGAGATCAGGATCTCACTGCCGGTGCTGGATGCGCGCTGAATTCAGCTGTTCGTGTGACCAATGGCCTGTGGCTGTCCACCACTTTCTTTGCTTGTCTGTCTGTCTGTCTGAGAGCAAGCCTATTGGCCATTTTTCTGTCCAATTGACGGGTTGGGGTGGGTGATGACTGGGGGAGGTGCCGGGGCAGGGGGAGGGGAGTGTGCAGTGGTGAGCGGCATATATACCCTCTTGTAACTTGTCGTGCCGTGCCGTGTCGTGCCGTGCTGTGTTGTGTCGAGTGTATGCGAAGCAACGTGCGTGCGTGAGCGCTGCACGGAGACCTGCCTACCTACCTGTCTACCTGCCTACCTACCTGTCTGTCTACATTTCTACGTGTCACATGCTATGATGAGTGGATGGATGAAGGTGCGGGGGGATGGGTGGGGTGGGTGCGGTGCAAGGAGAGAGAGAGAGCGAGCCAGTTCAAACTATTTTCGTGTGCACTGTTGGCGTGCTGGCGTCTGCCCCGCCCTCTTGTTCACTCGCGGCTAGCTTCCGTCAACCCGCCTGGCTGTGGTCTGTCATCAGAGTACAACGCTACCTCTGATATGACGACTGCAGCCATGGGTGGAGGGCAGAAAGTGGCCTGGGTGGTCGAAAGGGCGGACAGACGATGCACGCAGCGACGAAGGAGATGCGATGAGAGAAGAAAGAACAAGCAGACAGGGTTGGGGAGTGACGGTGATGGGCCCAGGGGCTATGGTGTATTTGATGCATCCTGCTTGTGAAGCGTTTCCGCGCTGGGACTGTTTTGTAAACCCCCCACCGGGAATGTCAGGCTGCATGCGGAAGACACCCGTATGTGGTCACACGTTACCGGTGGGTGGTGTGCGAAACATGCCCAGCGCTAAGCCAGGTGTCGTGCATGTCGATAGAGTGGACTCCGGTGTGAGACGGACGTGCAGGGAGCGATGAGTTCGATCCATGCCTGCAAGCGCTGCAATCTAAGCGCGCACAGAAGGGTGCAGACACCTTAAATGTCCCCTAGCCGCTTCTGGCAGACGCAGACCAGCGCATAGCGTATTTACACATCAACACAGCGGGCAGGACCAACCGTCTTAAAGCCACAAGCGTCACTCACTCACTGACGCCACACCCACACCCACCTTCACTCTGCCACTATCCCTCCGCCGTCCCCGCCACCTCATCGGCCGACGGCATCCACACCTCGCCATGCTCTATCGCCTCCAACACACGCGCGAGCACATCTGATGCAGTGACACATGACATGCATCACATCATTGACAACAGCGGTTGTTTGCTTGTTAAATTACGCATGCTGAGGCTGTTGTGTGTGTTGGTGAGCAGCGGCAGGTGGGGCACAAAGAAGGAGAGGCTGAGGGACTTCAGGTACAGAGCCTCACACTCTACAGGGTCCATCTGAACCGCAAACCAACCAGCCAGCCAGCCACACGAGTGTGGATCAGTGCAGTGCAGTGCACTCATTATGGACGGACGCTTTGCTGCACTGATTGCCCTGGCTCCTCACTCACCTGTGAGAGCGGTGTCGACATGATGACACGACCTGCACACACACACACCACACACACATAGAACAATTACCCACCCACCCACCGTACACGCGCCCGATCTCTCCTCTCACCCAGAGGGGCCGCACACGCCAGCAGTTCTCTCACAAACCGCGACTCCCCCGCGCCCATTCCAGCAGCACCGCCAGAGCAGGTCCTCGCATACGCCTCGACGGTGCCACCTCCATGCTCACGAGGCTGCTGGGTGGTGGTGTCGGTCGGAGGGGAGTCGAGTTGGAGGATGGTGTGTGCCCCCATGCCGCCAGTCAGTGCCAGCACCTGCTCGCTGAAGCCCTCCTGCAGCACGCACACCTTGGCTGGAGGAGAGAGAACACACGACACGGGACTAACGGTCAGCCAGATATATGGGTCCCTGAGTGCACTCGCAACTTGTCGATCGGCCCACCCACCTTGGCACGCATCAGTGCTGCTGCTGCTGTTGTTGCGGCTGTGAGTGGGGCTGCCTCCCTTGTTGGCCGCCCCTTCTGGCGCCCCCTGCACAGCAGATGCATACGGCGAGGGCAGCTTCACTTTCGGCGGCTTCAGCTGCAAAGCCGCGCGGGCATCCAATGTGACGGCAGTGTCGCCATGGTAATCAGGTGGCGAGGTGCCATTGGGCAGGTGCGAGAGGTGGGTGGCTGGGGGTGGGGGCGGGGGGGCGATGCCCAGACGGGGGAACTCCTCCTGATACACAGAATGGAAGTGCACTCAGGGATCTGTCGCTGCCGTGTGCTGCTTACCGCTGGGATTGCGAGGATGATGGACAGGTGAGGGCCTCTCAGGATCAGCCATTGCAGCAGGCACCGCAGCCGCCAATTCTGACCACAAGGCCGACCGCCATCTCATGTGACAGGACTGACATGCCCATGCGGCCCGGCCCTGAGTGCCTTTCCCTCTCCCTCACACACCATTTGCGTGGCCACGACGAGTATGATGTCCTCTGGCTGAGGGCGCACGAAATGCGACACACCTGAGTATGCAACACAACCGTCACGCAGTATCGTTCTGCCTTACTGTGCTTCCTTACAGTAGAGTGATTCGACCAGAGGGCTTAGCGCCGCAGCCACCACACGGGCATGTGAATCGTCGTCAGCTCTACTCGACCACCGCACTGTACACACAGTATCGCGACAATGAGGAGAAGCAAACCAGACGCCAACAGCCAGTTTACCTGCCATCCAATAAGGGATTTTGATGCGCGAATTGGCAGCGACGGCAGCAGCATCAGTGTGGCTGAAGGGCAGATAGCCTTACACGGACACACAGACAGGGAGGCGGCGTGAGCAGTCACGATTTCGGCTCCTGCTGCCATCCATTCATGTACCTTACCAATGACGTGTTCTCCCTCGCTAATGCCCTTGACGTCTTGGCCACACCCACACACACGACCTGCCACAATCAGACAACACACGAGTCATCCAAATCCATCCATCCATCCATTCATCGGCCAGCGTACCAATCGCAAGAGCGGCGAATCTTGTCGGTTTCGGCTGGCATCTGTCCAGGTGAGCTGCGCTGGCGGTGGCCTCGTCGGTTCTAGTGCCACAAGGCAGCAGTGTGCGGGAGTAGCTGACGTGCCGGACTTCAACCATGATTTCGCCGCGCGCAAGTGTGCATCCAGCGGCCTCGAAAGGGTTGGTGTGGCTCATACGGCTCATACCACAACACATGCATTCACCTCTTACCTACCTTTCCCGGAACTCGCCTCAGCTAAGCTCGCATACGCCACCAATCGCATCATCGCAGCGCCGCGCGCGTGTGCTACTGCACAAGGGGAGGATCCTGTCGACGCCGAAGCTGCCGGTGATCAGCGAGCGATAGATCTCTCGCCCTCTCACCGCCTTCACTCTCGCCGGCAGCGCGCGGCAAAGGAGTGACTTCCTGGTCCTCGAGTGAGCCAGGTGTGGTCTTGTGAGATCCATTCCGACAGAATGGCCAAGGCGTTCGACTCTGACGGTGCGAACAGATGATGCGAGAGGCTCACCGGACACCCGTACACCGAGCTCCGGACACATCTGTCATAACCTTATATGTGTGTACGGATGCCTTGCAGAGGTGCTGGAGAATGTCAGCAAGCCCTTCATCGACCGGGACCCGCAGAAGGAGTAAGTGACTGTCATGAACGGACAACACCACCACCGCCACACCACACCACATCCGCCGGACCGACGGACACACTTTTGATTGACACTCACTCACTCCCCTTGTCTGCTGTATGTGTGTGTTTGGTGTGCAGGTGGGAGCGTGTGCGGGTTTTGAGGCAGATCACCCGTCATTTGGCCGAGGGCACCTCCACTCGCCCCTTCCCACCTGACACCGACACCGAGCTCGAGCGGCGCACCAGCACCAGCAGCACCACCGGCAAGCCGGGCACCCGCAACAAGACCAGGAACGGCACGCGGCCCGGCACACCCAAGGGGACCCCCAATACGCCCAATGCGCAGCAAAGGCCGCAGAACCTCGCTCCTCCGACTCTAAGCGAACCCGTGAAGCGCCCCTCGCCCCCACCATCCCCCGCTCCCCACACACCCACCAACGGGACGGACCCCACAGGGGCCGCAGCGGGGGGCCAGGAGGCTGAGGAGAAGGACACACCCACAGCGGATATGGTGGAGAAGCACGTCAGCAATGGGCTGACCAGCCTGCAGATCACCAGCCCCTCGTTCGGCATCGGCACCGCCGCCGAGTTCGCCAGTGAGCGTGAGCAGCAGAACACCAGCCGTGTGGGGTTCCTGAACGCCGACAATGACAACCTCGACGACAGCGTGTCGCAGCAGGGCGACGACATGCTCGACAACGGCACCGACGTCAACAAGAGCCGATCGTACGGTGGAGGTGGAGGGGGTGGTGGGGCCAACGGGCTCGTCTCTCGCGGCGTCACGGGAGTTTTCACTGTCGGGTGGGGGTCGTTCATGAACATAAAGCGTCAGGGGACCGGCAATTCCAAGTTCCCCGGGGGCGCCACCGACCGTGTGACGGACATGGAGCTGATGGAGGAAGAGGAAGACTTTGACAATGAGGAGGAGGGCAGCTTTGAACGAAACAGGAGGATCAAGGTGGGCCGGTGCGGGGAGGAGGAGAGCCAAGATGGAGGCGCGTATCTGTTGGTTGGCATGTGGGTGTGTATGCAGCGAACGACGAATTGCTTGAAGCGTTGCCTGTCGGTGTGCAAGATGCCGAACCTGTGCACTTTTGTGTGGTACCTCTTCGGTGTGGTGGCCTTGTTCGTCATGGGGTGGGTGCTGGAGAACAGCGAAAAGACCATGCAGAGCCCGTCCTCTCAGTGGCTCTTCCTCTTCGCCGCCATACTCGTCGCAAGAATGGTCTCCTTCATCGGCTTCGGTGAGTCGAGTCAGGCAGGCCAAGGGGAGCTGAGCTGGCCATCTGTGCGTGGGATGGGATTGATTACCATGAGCCCACTCGTTGGTGTGCTGTCTGCCTGCCTGCACGTACTCCCTCCAGGAATGCTGGTTGCCATGATGACGGTTGTGGACCCAGACGCCAACCTGCCGTCGTCACTCATCATAGAGACGCTCCACGAACACTGCGCACGGTGAGAGAGCGCCAGCAAACACACACACGTGCGTGTTAGTTCATGTGTGTCCTCTTTTTTGATTGGTTGATTCAGTGTGTTGTGGTTTTCGCTGTCTCTGGTTGCGTACGCCGTGATGTTCTCGTGCAAGACCTTCACGTCCAACTGCCAAAAGCGCGACGACGGGCAGATGGGAAACATCGAGCAGAACGTTCGCAGGGGGCTGAGGGCCGTCCTGCTCTCGCTCTTCATCATGAGTCTACTGGTAGGTCTGACGCTGGATGGATTCACGGATGGCAGGACGGCCGCATGCATCTCTGTGTGTGTGTGTGTGTGTGTGTGTTCGTGTTTGGTTCCATCAATCAGAGTATCGTCCGTGAGTTGGTCATGACGTGGGTGTCTATCCAGAGCAACGGCACGCGGAACAGACAGCTCCAGCTGCTGGTATGGAAGGAGCGGGCCTTCTCGCGACTCAACCGAGTCGCACCTGAGCTCCACCTGCACCTCGGCTACTACGACTTCACCAATCGTCATAAGAAGCTCACTTCTGAGGCCCTCAAGCGACTCCCCACCCGCCACGTCGCAGCCAGGAGGCACGGAACTGGCTGGACCTCTCGCGTGCCGGCCTCTGCGGCTGTGGTCAACGAGATGCCTGCCGTGGGGTCATCGGCCGGCAGCAGCATCGGCGGCGAGGTGGGTGGATCAATGCAGTCAATGCACATGCGGACAGACATGACATGAGATGCGTCATTGGTTGGTGTGGTGTGGTGCAGCTCGGCATTGGACTGAGCGGCCCCGCACCCACAGCATGGGAATCATGGCGCCACAGATCGTACGTCATCCTCCACCCCATTCGCTTCCACCTCAGAGGTCAGCGGGGCTGGGGCCAAAACAGCCCATCCATCCATCCATGTGTGTGTGTGCAGGTGTGGGTCGTGTTGAGATCACTCGCAAGAGGGAGGTGCGGGAGTACGGCAACCAGCTGTTCACGCAGCTGCTGGAGGTGCAGGCCAAGCTGGTAGAGGAGGGCCGTATCACGATGGAGTCCTTCGCCATCCTCAGAAGGTATCCCTCCAACATGCCCCCCGTCCTGCACGAGGGCGAGGATGGGTTTGTGCCACAGCCCGGTGAGTGAGTGGGCGAGAGGTTAAGATATAATGGGCTGCGGGCGTGTCCTCGGACGAATGCATCCTATCCGATCCGCTCGTGCGTGGCGTTCAGTTTCTTACAACTTCTTCGGCCGCGAGCTCATTCGACACTACATTCCCAACCCTGAGGACGCTGAGCGGCTCCTACTGCTCCTTGACCCTTCTGGTGAGCCCCACCGCACCCAAACACTCAGACAGACGCACATTCCTGGATGGATGGATGTGTGTGTGGTGCAGGCACTGGTCGCGTAACGCGCTCCCGATTCTTGTCGGCGTTGCTGGCGGCGTACAACGAGCGGAAGCAGCTGTTGAAGTCACTGGAGGTGGACGAGTCGGTCGCCGACATCGTCAAGTCGCTCCTGTGGATGCTGCAGTGGTGCATCATCATCATAACCGTCCTGTGGCTGCTCGGCGTCAACCCGTACACGACCATCCTGGGGTTCGCCTCCATCTTCGCTGGCGTCGCCTTTGCGTTGGGCAACTCGATCAAGAACTTTGTGGACTCCCTGGTGTTTGTCTTCATCCAACATCCCTTCGACATCGGTGGTCGGTGACACACAGACCGATTGGATGGATGGATGGATGGATGGATGGCCGCATTTCTCTCTCTCTCTCTCTCTGTGTGTGTGTGTGTGCAGATCGCGTCAGTGTGGACGGCGATGTGGCGATGTACGTCCGGCGCATCTCCGTCATGACCACCACATTCGAGTAAACCGGCTTAGCTTCCCAGCGACACACATACCATCCGCTCCGCTCACCTCTTCTCTGCGTTGCATTGCGTTGCGTGTGTGTCAGGACGATCCACAACAAGCAGCTGGTGCTGCCGAACTTCCAGCTGGCCGTGGCCAAGATCATCAACGAGAGCAAGTCGCCGCCCGCCGTGTTTGAGATCCTCTTCCAGCTGTCGACCAAGACGTCGATGGAGCAGTTCATGGACCTGCGGCGAGCGGTCATCGAGTACTGCTGCCGCAACCCAAGGGACTGGATCAGCAGCCCGCCACCTGACCTGTATGTCTACAGCATCCAGCCCAACCACTCGATGGAGGTGCGACAAGACAGACAGCCAGGACACCACACCCATGTATGTGTTTGTCTGTGTGTTGGTTGGGTGGGTGGTGTGGTGTCTTGTGTGGTCAGGTTGGCCTGTGGGTGACTCACATGCTCAACTGGGCGGAGCACAGGGACATCTACCCTGCGAGAACTAAACTTTTCTGGTCTGGGTAGCACACACCGACTTCGTGACTCACCTAGCCGCCATGCACTGGTTTGTGTCTTTGTTTGTCTGTCTGGCTGCAGGCACCTGATGCAGACGATGGACAGGCTAGGGATGGAGTACTACCTGCCCATCCAGCCGCTCATGACGGTCAGCCCACCCAAGACCGCCCCAGACGGCGAGGGAATCGACCCCCGTCAGAGCCGGGTCGCGTCGACGAGCTTCACCATCAACACCTCTCTCAGCCCCAACCCCTCCCCGGATATGCAGAACCTCATCCCCAGCCCGTCAGTGCGCCCATTCTTCCTACCGGGGTCGCAGCAGCAGGACGACAATCGCAACACCGTTGGGAGCAAGAAGGCCGACTGACTGACTGACTGAGTGCGGAATGGTTTGGGTGGGAGTCGTGGGTGCGTTTCGGGGTGCTTTGGGGGGTGGGGTGACATTCTGACTGACTGGTTGGGGCGGGGCGGGGCGGGGCGGGCCGAGCCGAGCCACACACTTTAGAATATAAATGTGTTGGTTGGTAAGTTTGCAGAGGTGCGTCCGTTCGTTCGTATGCTGGCGTGCCGTGCCGATGCCTCGGGTCCATTATTCATGGCACATAACTAACATGCTCTTCATTTTTGCGTATGGCTACGCACGCCCCGCCCCCTGAGGGAGGGAGGGAGAGATGGATGGATGGATGGATGAGTAGGTCAGCCAGTGCGTGCATGCGAGCGTGTGCGTGAGTCCGTGGGTGTTGTGTGTGCGTGCGTGTGTATGTGACTGACGTGTACGCGTATCGCATTGCTTGCATTTCATGTGGATGGATGGAGGGATGGATGGATGGCGCTGCCTGCACGACCCCTGTAGTTCCTCCTGTGTGAACACATCAGCCAGTCAGCTGCCCTGCCCTTTTTCAAGTGAGTGTGAGCGAGTCCACCACGGCACGGCCGGGCTCAGGCAGGTGATGGTGGAGGGGGGGAGAGAGAGCGAGAGAGAGAGAGTGAATATCACAATATGTCGGTTTGCGTGAGGGTGGGTGCGGTGCGGGGGGGCTGTTCACTGTTCATTTCTCGGGTTGGGTTTTGATCTGATCGGGGGGAGGGGATCTGTGGCTGTGCCGGGCTGTCTGCTGCTGCGCCCGTCGTACACACACTACACTACTTATACTACTCAGAGCTGAGTGCATCGATTGCCTACCGCAGGCACATAGTGACCATACCATATGTCATTTTATCACCGACAGACAGGCGCGCGCGAGAGGGAGGGAGGGAGCATTTCATTTACGGTGAAGTCTTCTCTCTCTACTGTGGTTACCTCTCTACCCTATTGCTCATCTCGAACTGCCTGCCTGCCTGGCTGCATATGGTTGGGGTTGTGTTGTCGTGACGGACGGACGGACGGATGGCTGGCCGGCCTCCATCTCGTGGCTGGCGGAGAAAATGCGATGGATGCACGCTTCTATGACGCGTAGAAGGGTGCAGCACTTGATCCGGCCGTCTGCACGGGAGGTCACCCACAAGGGAGACAGACAGGCCAGCAGACAGGCTGGCAGGCAGACAGACAGACGAGAGGGGAGAGCCAACGCCTTTATCGCATCCACTCATCCATGTGAGTGTGCATGTGTATGTGTATGTGTGTGTCTGGTGCGTCTTCCCTCTGTGCGTGTCAGTCACAGTGGGAGAGTGCGTCCGTCCGTGCGTCATGAGAGGGAGTGAGACATACATACATACATGTCGCCTTTATCTAACTGGCTGACGTACTTATGGGCTGGCTGGCTGGCCGTCTGTCTGGCTTACCTGCCTAGGAACCGTCCTCCCTCTCCCATCCCATTTGTGGCCTTTTCTACAGCATATACACACACACATACACACACCTGTCTGTCGTCGTGTTATTACTAGTGTCACGTACGTCAATTTGTTGACTGACAGAACTGGTTCAACTTTTAGGCAGGCGAGCAGGCGAGCAGGTGTGTGTATGTGTATGTGTACGTGTGTGAGTGTGAGTGTGGTACGCGCGTGTGGGGGGACAGGAGGGATCAGCCAACACCGCTGCGTCCCGCCCCCATCGCCGCGTACTATGTATGTGCGTCTGTCTCCCCACCTATCTAATCTATCCCTCGCGGTTTTGTGCGTGTCCGTGTCCGTGTGAGTGTGCGCGGCCGTCCGTGCGGCCTTCGTGAGAGTGGTGTTTAGTGCATACGGTAGGAGGGAGGCCTCACTGCGTTTTGTTCTCACCCGGGCCTCAGTGTGTGGGCGTGTGTGTGACGGATGACGGATGACGGGTGGTGGTGTTTGCCTAGTGCACCATTCAGTGAATGCCATCAGTGGATGGCTGGCTGAATGGACTGAAGTGGCGCGTTGTGTTGGTGGCATCGCGTCTTCTTATCGATTTATCGAAGGCAGGCAGCACACGTACTAGCAGCATGTCATAGCTACTATGACAACACGAGGCGACCACCATCTTTCTGGGTCGGACACTAACCAACGGACAGAGTGACGTGCAGATGAAAAGAGAGAGAGACAGAGAGACAAGTGAATGCTACACAAAGACAAACAAGGCGACGAACAGTCCGTTCTCCCTCTCCATCCTCTCTCTCAGGATATGACGGATATGCACACCACACCCTGTGGTCGACTCGACGCACAAACCAACCCTCATGAGAAGATCAAACCCACCGACGCAAAACACAAGACGACCAGTCATCCATATCAGTCTGGACATCTGAATGAACCGATCCTATGCACAAAACCACACAGATCCTCCCTCTACCCACACTAATCAATCACACCTCCCCCTCTAGGTCTTCTTCCACGTCGCCATCATCGCCAGGATCGGCCACATTGGACACCTCGGCCTCATCCCTGCCGCCAGCAGCAGCGGGGGGCGCCAGCAGCGAAGCACTCGCATCCCCGCCGGCCGCGGGTTTGCGGAACGTGACTGTGAGGTCCTCGTCGGGCTTGATGGTCGCCTCGTAGACCAGGGTGCCGTCATCATCAGTTGTGGCGCTGGCGCCCTCGATGGAGGTGTAGCCGTGTGCCTTGATGGTGACGTGTGTGTCGTGGATGGCGGGGCCCGACTGCTGCGGAAAGACCACACCCTTGCGGGCCACGCACAGGGTCAACACGTCCTCAGTCATCGACACTATCACCCTGATGGATCGATGGATGGGATGAGCCAACAGACAGACAGACAGACACACACACAGATGAGCACATGCGTGTGCACTATCTATGGCATTGCACGTAGGTCGGTAGGTACCTGCCGGCGTTGGCCGTGTCGACCGAGTGTGTGCTCTCGAACACCAAATCCCCACCACCTACGTCAGGGGTCAGCCCGTCCTTCTGGCTCTCGGCCTCGATCTTCTTGCTGATGGCCTCGCCCTTCAGCACCAAACCCTCATGGCCATCCCCGGCACACACACAGTCCTTATCGCCCAGCACCACCACCAGCGACCCACCTCCGCTGCACGGCACCGAGAGCGTCCCTCCACCGGTGGGGTGCGAGTGGATGTGCCCCAGCAGGATGTCAGCGAAAAACGGGAAGGTGTTGCTGGTCTCTGTGAGCTTGAAGGTCGACTCCTGGCTGATGTGCAGCACGTGCCCAGCGCCCTTGAGGCTGCGAATCGTGAATGAGCTGGACTTGCCCACAAATACGACACTTGCCATGGGGAGCAACACAGCGAGCAGCGGATCACGTAGTGGTGGTTGGAGAAGTGTAGAGTGTAGAGTGTTTGGAGGGAATGGAGTCGACCCACTTTGCGAGCTTGGCGAGCCGCCAAGATCTTCTCCCCGATGGCAGCCAACGGGTGCAACCAGACGCTGCAGCTGTACCAATCGTGGTTCTGCCCCTTTGCACAGCGGGCATGGCTGGCGTGCGAGGAAAAGGGACTCAAATACGTTCTTCACGAGATCAAGTATGGCTGGAATCATGGAATGGACTGGATTGCAGCAACCCAACCAGGATGACACGTCACGTTGGATGAGCTCTGTGTCTGTGCTCGTACGTGTGTGTGCTCGTGCGGTGTGTGTGTGTGTGTGTGTGTGTTAGCCCATGTGCGAAGACGAAGGAGTGGCTGGCGATCAATCCCAGAGGGCTGGTGCCGGCCATTCGGTGAGAGTGACGAATTCAGCCTGCAAACGATGCGCGTGGATGTACCTTTCCTTCCCCTGCACTGACTGACTCGTGTGTGTTGCGTCCGTGCAGGCATTGAGACCACTCCATTTATGAGTCTGCCGTGTGCATTGAGTACATCGACGAGGCCTTTCCGGCATCGACCGACCCATCGCTGCGGCCGCTGATGCCCACCGATCCCCTTGGACGGGCCAGACAGAGGATCTGGTGTGTGTGTGTGTGTGTGTGGTAGTGACACAGAGCAAGCCGCCGACTCAATCACCACAGGTGCTGAATGTGTGTGGGTGGTTGCAGGGCCGATCATGTGAGCAAGAAGTGTGTGCCGCCCTTCTATGACTACCTCATGCACGACAAGGATACGGCGGCAACCGACTTCCGAGACGCAATCTACACGCTCACTCAGGTAAACCTCACACACACACACACACACACACACACAGAGACACATATCCCTTCATTCAGCTTTCTCACACACATGTGTCTGTCCACTCATTCATGTGCAGGAGATGGACGCGGACGGCCCCTTCTTCGATGGATCGATGTACGGTCTCGTCGACATCATGCTCACGCCCTTCGTTGACCGACTCGACATACTCAAACACTTCAGAGGGTCAGCAAGGAAGGGAAGGAACAAACCACCCAACCAGCCCAACAACACTCAAAGCCCTCACACATCCACAGATGCATGGACGCGACGCGTGTGCAGGTTTGAGCTCCCCCCATTGTCAGCCGACCCGACTTGGGAGCGCTTCCATCGGTGGTGGGCGGCCGTGTCATCGCGGCCATCATACCTCGCCACACGGGCGGACAGACAGCGGCTGCTCGACCACTATGTCAAATACGCCGAGAACACAGCCAAGACACAAGTCGCAGAGGCAGTGCGGGCGGGCAAGGTGCTGCCCTGAGAGAGATGTATGCTATGCGGAGAGAGAGAGAGATTTATGGTGTTTGGTTTTGTGGCTGGCCGGTTTGTGGTGCTGCCGCCGTTGCTTGGTCCCTGGGTGGGCGTCGAGTGCGTGTGCAGGGGCTATGCTACAGCAGCCCATTTTTGGTCTCATGGCATCTTCTCACGTATCTGATGTCCACTGCGAGGCGACTTAGAGAGACTGGTTGCACCATAAGGGCAGGCAGACGGTGCTGGTGCACTTTTGATATTTGGTCGCTTCTGTATGTATGTATGTATGTGTGTATGTATGTGTTGCTGTGTTCGATGGCGGTTGGGTGGGTGAGGACACATCGAACTTTGTCGCCCGCCGAACCACCACCCCTCTGGACAGAGGTCAGACGAAGCATCCCATCCAAGGGAGATCGGTTGACGAGAGACTGATTGGTTGATGGTACATACCAGTGTGCCGATGTCCTTGACATTGAAGTTCTTCAATATCAGGCAATGAAGTGTATTGCATTGCATTGCACGAATGTCCGAACTCCGCCCAGCCTGACTCATTGGGGCAAGCAACCACCAGACGAAAAACGACCCAGTAAGGCAGGCAGACAGGCAGGCAGGCAGGCGGGCAGCTCGACCAACACCACACCATATGGACCACACCACACACCACAGAGCGCACCTAGCTGACGGACACGTACGTGTGGGGAGGGCGGGAGACTGCGCCCACCTCTCTTTGTTTCCTCTTGACAGGAGAAATACTAAACAGACAGACAGACAGACACCCACTCACTCTCTCACCCACCACCGTGCCCGGCACACACATAGACAGCTATGCAGACAGACGGACACACCAAGAGAGTCAGGCAGTTAGGCAAACACATCGGGGCGCTACTTGGTGCCGTTGGTCTGAGGGGCTGAGAGCTTGTACAGCCTGGAGCTGGCCGTATTCTTCATCAACAGGGCCACCGTCATCGGACCCACACCCCCTGATCATTATTATTGACACACACACGCACACACACACACACCCGTGTGGCTGGCCATATACACATGTGAGCGGTGGATGGCTGTCTGACCCACCCACCCACCTGGCACAGGCGTGATGAGTTTGGCCTTGCCTTTGCACTCCTCGAAATCAACATCTTCACAAACAGACAGACAGACAGACCACACGAGGCGAGAGCCACCCATGGGTGGATGAACAGGCCAGGCGTTGTTTGTGTCACCGGTGTGTAGGTACCTCCGACGAGTCTGTATCCCTTGGCTGAGGTGGGGTCGTCGACGCCGTTGATGCCGACATCAATGATGACCGCACCGTCCTTGACCCAGTCGCCCTTGATGAAATTGGCCTTGCCGATCGCAGCCACTATGATGTCTGCAGTGCATGCAGCACAGCCGACCAGCAGCAGGAAGAGCCATGCGTGTGATGTGTGAAGTGTGATGTGTGGTTCCATTGAGCCCACCGACCCGACCTGCTTTTCTGCACTGTCCAGGGAGGTCTTTAGTCCGCGAGTGGCACATCGTCACTGTCGCATTCTCTTGCTGAACCACCCACCCACCACCCACCACACACATTAAATGAGTGGATGAATGGATGAGTCAATCGATGGATGTGCCCACCCACCCCTTTCATCCCCCCTCACCCTCTCACCTGCAGGAGGAGTGATATGGGCATGCCGACAATGTTGCTGCGGCCGACCACGACAGCGTCGGCGCCCGACATCTTGACGTTGTAGCGCCGCAGCAGCTCGATGCAGCCCTCAGCTGTGCACGGCTTGAACATCGGCGTGTGGTCGCGAAGAGCTGACACACCACACAGACAGACAGACAGATAAGGGCATGTGCAATACGAATCTGTGCATTCAATTGTGTGTCGGTCACTTGACTTGTGCACACCACACTTACGTACCCAGGTTGCCGACGTTGAGTGGGTGGAGGCCATCCACGTCCTTGAACCAATCTGGCCGACACACATCCACTCACTCATTGTCTAGCTCTTCCATCGCGTGTGTCGTGTCGCCTGGCCTTCCTACCGATGAGCTCGAGCACTTCACGCTCCACCATGTGGGAGGGCAGCGGCAACTGATCGATTCACACAATGCACGCACACAAGAAATGAATGAATGAATGAATGAATGACGTCCATCTGACTGTCTGCCTGACTGTCTGCCTGATTGTCTGTCTGTCGTGGTGGTCCCACCTTCCTTACCTGTACGAGGATGCCGTCGACGTTTGGGTCAGCATTGAGCTCGCGCACCTTGTCCATGACCTCCGCCTGGCTGACCGTGTCGGGCATGCGAATCACCTCACTCTCAATGCCGCACTCCTTGCACGCCCTCTCCTTCATCCCTAACCAAAACACACACACATACACATCGGTGGATTTCCCCTCCGGACTTCCTCGTCGATCTGTGGTCGTCCATCCCTATCTTACTGACCGACGTAGGTGCTGCTGTCCCTCCTGCCGCCCACGAGGATGACGGACAGCTTGGGGTGCTGGTTGTGCTCCGCCACCATTTTCTCAACCTCCGCCTTGACCTCATTGCGGATGTCCTGCGCCGTCTTCTTGCCGTCAATCAGATTCTCAGACATGGCTGATGCTGCTGCTGCTGCTGCTGTGGATGGGTGGTGTTGTCACTCTGAAAGAGATGCGATGAATCAACGCTGAAGAAACTGGCTCAATGAGATGACAGAAGGTAGGGGAGCTGCGACCTGAAGGTAACCCGTTTGCCGTCGCGTCAAGAAACGCAGCTCGCGCAGAGACTGCGAGCTTCGATCGCGCTGAGTCGCTCCCCGAGCTCCGCAAATTCACCAGCTGCACGGTGCGCAAAGATGCCTCAGGGATACACTTCATGCGCAGATCTGGAAGATCTGCAATGACAACAGTGGGAGACGGCCGACCCCGGAGAAACGTGTATTTACGGCTTTCTGGAGAGGGGGCCTCGTAGATCAGAAGCTACCGACCATCTCACCTCCTGGAAGCAGTGTCTGTCCCGTTCCGTGGCACCAGCTCCCGACAGGTCAGCCATGATGAAGCTCATGGTGTTCGCCGCCCTCATCGCGGCTGCCAGTGCGTTCGTCCCGTCTGCACCCCTCCGGGGCCTCGATAAGCTGCAGAGCAGGGACAGGACGGCACCACGAATGGCTGTCGAGGTACGCACGCACAGATCTACGCTGCAGACCTGCTCATATGAGTCTTGTTCATCTCCGTGATTTGATTTGGTTTGATTCCCCAGGATATGATTGGTGCTGACGTCGAAACACGGGGCGTGTGGGACCCTCTTGGCTTCTCCAAGGACGAGTCGTCGCTCTACAGATATCGCGCCGTCGAGCTCAAGCATGGTGTGTGGCAGGGCAGGGCAGGGAGAGCAGGGTGATATGATGGCATCCAGCAACGAGTGCAAGCAATGCTGTGTGCGCTGCGTGTCTGGTGGCGTTCTTGTCAGGTCGTGTGGCCATGTTGGCTGTGTTGGGTTACTTCGTTGCCGAGCTGTGGCACCCCCTCTATGACGGCAAGGTCGAGCCGGGGCTCAAGGCCATCTCACAAGTCCCATCGGCGGTCAGTGAGTCAACCAATCAGCGAACCGACCGACCAGCCAGCCAGCCAGCCATCCGTCAACCGACCGACACCATGATGGATGCCCGCCTGCATGCTTTGTACGTGTCGGGTGTGTATGTGTATTTCAGGGCTGGCTCCAGATCTTGGCGACGATCGCAGCCATCGAGCTGTCGATTGGCAAGCAGGATTTCGAGAACCGCGCCCCCGGCGACCTGGGCTTCGGCATCAACCCGTTCGAGAACGACCCCGTGGAATTCGCTAAGCTGCAGCTCAAGGAAATCAAGAACGGACGACTCGCAATGGTCAGAAGTCGAGTTGTGGGACGCAGCAAGGCTATTCATCATGCGGTGTTTGCTCTGTGTGTGTATATGTGTGTGTGTGTGTGCAGATTGCGATCGCGGGCATGTTGGTGCAGGAGCTGGTGACCGGCCAGACCACCCTCCAGCAGCTCAGGGAAGGACACATCAGCCCATTCGGCGATGGACAGGTCAGCCAGTCAATAGTGGACGACACACACGTGCCAGATGACAAGACAGACACACATGGTACCATGTGTGGTCTCCTGCTGCCAGGGTCTCTTCTGAGCCACCACACCAGAGTCACATGCATCACATACATCCCACTTTTGCGCCCCTTGCTGCTGCCTGGCTGCCTGGCTGTCTGACCGACCAATGCTCCATGCATGCATCCCTGTGTGCGTGCATGAGTCCACCTGTGTCTTCCAATCGGACCCATGGTGCGCTCTGCCTGCCAGTAGTTGAGAAATTTTTGCTGGCTGATGGCTGATGGATGGCTGCTTTGGCTGTTGAAAAATGCGAGAGCGAGGGGTCGGTGTTTGTCGGTATTGTTGCGTGGCGTGGGTGTGTAGAATGAGTGGACGGACGAGTGACGGTCGACGGACGGACAGCCAGGTAGCTAGCTGGTGTGGACTGCCAAATGAAGTCAGTGATCCTATCCTTCTCACTCACTGCAAGTGTGCCGTGCAGCAATCGCTTCACGTCAACGCGTCGATTCGCGTAGTCATGTGCACCTTGTGTGAAATGAGCATCTGCTCTCAGCCTCGCGCGGCGCATCGTCACGACCACATCACGCAACAGACTTGCACGTGAAATGGCACTGACAAGGCCGCTATGGAAGCAAAGCAGCAGCATTGTCTGCACACACAAGTGCGACAAAGGACTGTCCTCATGGCAGCAGTGCAAAAAGGGTCGAAGGTACAAGCAGCAAGCAAACCGTCTTCATAGCAGGTCAGCTATCCTACACATGGCATCCCGTCGCCGACGACCGAAAAACCATCATCCCCCCACCACGTCAGGCCGGCACCAGCTGAGGCTCCCTCGCCCTCTCTTTCTCCACTCTCGCCCTCTCCGCCTTGTCGTCGGCACCAGCAGCAACCGCCTCCTGCGCAGCAGGCGGCAGCTCGGCCGTGGGTGGGGAGGGCACGTTCTCGATGACAGCCTGGGCCTCTTCCTCCTCAATGCGTCGGAGGTCGGCCAGCACGTCGGTGTCCTGGTCGGTGATGCCGTCCTTGAAGAGCATGGCGTTGACCTCCTGTTGGTAGGCCCTCGCCTCCTCGCTCTCCTCAACAAGCCGCTCCACATAGTCGAGAGAGATCTCCTGCTGCATCTTCTTCATAGCGGCGTTGCCGACCTCGAGTGCCTTGACGAGGGTCTCCTGCACCTGCGCGTACTCGACATTGCTGATGAGCTCGGCAATCTTGAGTAGGTGCTGGTCGCACTGGTCGATGAGGGTCTCGTGGTGCTTCTTCTTCTTGAGGGCGAGCAGAGCCAGGCTCTTCTTCTTGGTTTCGATGAACCGCTTGGCCGCCGACAGGTCACTGCTGATGGTCGACTGCAGCTTGCGCTTGTGGATCTGCAGCTGATCTGCAGCACACACACACAGCACAGCCAAAGGAGTGCTCAACTTTGGCTGTGTGATCTTCCATGTGTTGCGCTCTCGTCTTCTCTTGGTCTTGTGTGCGTGTGTGTGTGTGTTTGTCGGCTGACCCCTTTGTGCTTTGAGGTCCAGCACAGCTCTGTCCGAGTCGGTGATGCGGTCGGGCTTCTTCTCCTTGGCTGGCGGACAGCGAGAGAACCACGAACCCATTGATGCACCTTTGTGCACCTGCTCTTCTGCGCTTGGCGAGGGCGATGCACCCCAGAGAAAGTTGCTTGGCTGTCCAGAGAAAGATACAATTGAGATCGCACGCCGATCGCAGGGAGGCCGTGTCTTTCGTCCCCCAGCTTTTGCCCTTTTTGCGGCCTCGGGCATCGGTTGCGCTCCACCAAAGACCGAATTGCAAAGCCATCTCGTGAAACCGTGGACTCAAATGTTACTTCCCATCTCCCCCCACTGGACCCCCAATACTCGTGGTGAGCACATAAATGTGTGTATGTGTCCGCATCTGTGCTGTTTCTTCAGGGCTGAGGCGGCTGTCTCGTCTGCAATAACCAACCTCACTCAAGTGTAGCTCGAAGCCTCCTACTAGACTCCTCCATGACATCGTTCTCTTCCCCCGACGGCACTGCCATTGCAAAGCTGCTGCCCTCAACCTATCAGCTGGCATGGCTGGAGATAGCCGTCTTCACACTCATGTGTGTGGCGCCCTTTCTCCTGCTGCCCCTGTTGCCCCTCCTCGGCTCGGCCGGCCCCCACTTCGACGCGGTGCCGCCGTGGTGGTGCACCGTGATCGAGGAGCCCTGGCTGCACGCACTGGCGCAGATGTGCATGGCCGTACTCGTGCTGCTCGGACGTACGCAGGCAGACACAGACACACACACACAGAGAGAGAGAGAGAGAGAGAGACGTATGTGCTTGTGTTGATGCTGTGTTGATGCTTGGAGACAGCTTACATGAGCTTTGTGGCGGTGCTGCCTCTGTGGGGCGTCATCCGGAAGCTGACCGAGGGGCGCGTGTGGGTCATGACGCGAGACACATCTCCACCATCAGACGGTGAGGGTGGGAACGTGCCGACTGCCGTCCGGACCGTCCGGTCCACCGCTGCCTCGAGCAGCGCCGAGGAGCAGCCCATGGTGGCCAGGAGGGTCCTCAACTGCTCCCTGCTGCTGGCCATGGCGGCTCTGGTGCACCTCGTCAGCAGCTGCATGACCTGTTTCTGCCTGCTGGTCACCATCAACAGCAACCCACACACAGGGCGGCACATCCTGATCGCCACCTTGACGGGGATCGTCTCGCTCGTGGCTATCCTCTCTCATGCTTTCGGCATCGACACGACCCTCAACGAGCTGCGCATTTCGTCGGTCGTCGCGCGAGAAAAGCAACGGCAAGAACAGCAGCAAGAGAGCGACCACGAGTCTGCGCCCCTTATCGAAGACAAAGAGACACACACCGCCGCCGCCAGCAGCAGGAAGGGACAGAGGAGGAGAAGAGTGCTCTCGTTCTACGCGCAAGTGAGAGACATCAATGGGAGGCTCAGCATGGGCGCCGCGCTCGCGTACATCGCCATGCGGAGGTGGCTGGACCGGGAGAACCTGTGGGGGCTGAATCTTGACGCGACCTTCTCTCTCGTGCTGTTTGCTGCCTGGGCTGTCAGCCTCTATGGCCGGATTGGGTTTCTCATGTGGGGCGAAGGTGTGGCTGAAGTGTCAAGGACAGAGGAGGTGTCGCTCGTCTTCGTGGACCCAGAGGTTGATTGAGGCTGCCTCCACGTGTTGGGGGGGAGGGGGGTGTGTGTCGATGGTTAACGATGTGAGGCGACAGAGTGTGTGTGGCAAGGGCGGTTGCTCACAGGTCGGTTCACGTGAGTGAGTCCCATCAATGTATCATGGCAAAACGTCGCACCCACGCAGATGTCTGTCTGCTCGAAGATGAGTCTTCGGCTGATCTAATCTCTGTTCGTCATGTCAGCGGACTACCAGGGCATCACGCAAGTTGTCAGACCAACACGCGTAATGTGCTGGAGATCCGCAGCACAACGAACAGGAGATGAAGCGCCGCCACCACCACACCACACCACACCACACCACACAACGCATGGATAGCCAGTCAGTGAGTGAATGCAGTGCATGAGATCCCAATCGCCCCCCCCCCCCCACACACACACACACAGTGTGTTCGGATCACCATCCATCCCACATGCACACACACATGGCGAGGAAGAAAACAAAACATTCGCCATCCATAAGCTGAGAAATGCTCAGGCGAACGCGGTGGCGATGCGATGCGTCTCATTGGTTGGTCGGTCGGTCGCACGTCGCCAAGAAAGACAAACCGCACGCCGCTCACACGTCAGTGGGCAGCGAGCGGCGACGCCACCCCTGCAACGGGCCGACGAACCAACCAACCACTGAGACGCCAGCCACCAAACATTCGCCATCCATAAGCTGAGAAATGCTCAGGCGAACGCGGTGGCGATGCGATGCGTCTCATTGGTTGGTCGGTCGGTCGCACGTCGCCAAGAAAGACAAACCGCACGCCGCTCACACGTCAGTGGGCAGCGAGCGGCGACGCCACCCCTGCAACGGGCCGACGAACCAACCAACCACTGAGACGCCAGCCACCATGCATAACGATTAGAAATCCGTCCATACAGCACACCACACACACGCTGATCCATTCCATCTCTCTCTCTCTCAACACGTAGAGAGTGCCACCCAGGCAACACCATGTGTGTGAGAGATACGCCGCTCGCGTGAATGCATGAGTCAACACAGGCATCCAGTAACCAAAATGCCGCCCCCTCGCCCCCCAGCATCACTCACCACTCACCACCCACACCCAGGCACACTCCATCCATCCCTCCATCCCTTCATCCGTCGGTGCGTGTGAGTGCCTACCGATGCCCGCCCGCGCGCGCCACAGGTGCTATACACGTCACGCAGGAGCGGGATGTCTGACAGGCACTCAAGCACATGAGAAGGACGGCGGTAGCTATCTCGATCTCAAGCAAAATCGGGTCTCGTGTGTGTTGGGGTGGGTTGGGGTGGAGGTTGGGTTACGTAGAAGAAACGTACACACGCACACACACACACACACGCGGAAAATGCATAACTGCGCACCGCACCACATCGCATAACATGACAACGCATTGCATCACACTGCATCCATTCATTGTGTTGCTGCTGGTCTTTTCTCTGTGGAGTGGGAGTCGTTATCGGCCAGTGCTCATCGGCCGATGGCGTAACTCACTCTTGCGCTCATTGTCCGTGGCCGCCCGTGGAGAGGGAGGGAGGCATTGGCCACACTAAAGGTGATAAAGACCATGACGCAGCCAGACAGACACCCACACCCCACACCCACGCCAATCCATCCACACGCGCACAGAAATACACAGATCGGTGCTCAGGTAGGTACACCTACAGGCACATCCAGACGTCATTGTGTGTCATCGTATACGCAAGCAATCTTAGCGTAAGTAATAAGCCAAATAGAAACACGAAACACAACACGACACACCACACCACGACAAGAAATGAGACAGCCGGTCCAAGCAAGCAATTAAGGCAGCCAGCCGTTCAGAAACGAGACGATCCCCCGCCCGCCCCACCGACCCCACCGACCCGTAAGAAACCAACCACCCCATGTCATGTGGGTGATAGTGAAACGCGCGGTGAACGGTCATCCCATCCCGTGGTCCCATGTCATATCAACCAACCAACCAACCAGCCACAGCAATCGGTGTGCGCGTGTCCCGCCCTCCCTACCCACTGCTGTGTTGTGCCGGCTGCAATCACTTCCCCCTCTCCCTCCCTCCGTCCCTCTCTCGCCCCCTGCACAAAATGACCGACCGACCGCCATGCAGCCCAGGCAATCCACACACACACACACACACCCACATCAATGTCGACACGCACACACATTGACAGACAGTCACACACATACGTAAGTAGGAAGACACGCACACACCACGCACCAGACACCGCACAGCAATTAGACAAGCAAGTCATCTTATGGATAAACGAAACGAAACGAAACGAAATGCAAGAAGGAGCAACCGAACTGCACACTCGAACAGACAGACAGCCAGTCATCAAGGAATCAATCAGCCGACCAACCCACGCCGAACACACACGCCCACAAAGACACAGCACCGCAGGCCACGCACAAGGAACGAAAGAAAGTCTAAACGTGGGAGCGATCGGCGAGCGGTGAGACGCCCGCCCGCTATCATACCGTCATGACGCCCCCACTACCTCCCTCCATCCGTCCATCCATCCATCCACACGAGCCATCTACGCCATCTACGTGCTATTCTCGCTCGCAGACGGGCTAGAGTCCCCTCCCTCGTAAGCGGCGTTGTGGACGGCCTCCTGCCTCATAATGAGGTGGGTGGCCTTCTTGGGGACGGCTACAGCCTGCTGGTCTGCGAATTTGGTGAAGGGGTCGTCGTTGCGTGTCTGGGGTGCGTTGGCGACGCCTGGCTGCAGGAAGGTCGTCTGCTTGGCGAAGCTCGTGTCCAGACCCAGGACGGCGTCCGCTACCTCCACACCCTGATCCATGGCAGGCATCCACACAGGCACCCATGTGGGTGGGTGTTGGGGCCATGCATGGGTGTGTCGTGCGGTGTGTTCTGACTGACCTGCATGAAAGAGTGGTCTTGGTTCGAGACCTCATACTTCCAAGCGCCGAAGCGACCCCTGCTGTAGATGTCATGCCTCTCCAACTCCTACACACACCCATACCCATCCATCCATCCATCCATCCACCAGCCGTCGTGCCTGAGCAAGTGGCCCCATTGATGGGTGCCACTGGGTCACCTCGAAGATGGGTTTGCAGAGCTGGTCTCTGCCGTAGAATGGCGTGGGGTAGCCGTGGTCGAAGATCATGTGGTGCCGCGACACGATCTCGTCGCTCTCGCTGATCAGCTTGGTGCTCTTGGCACCAGCTATCACCTGCACAGCGCACACACGCCAGGCCACACGACACACGACACACACATGCATTCCCCCCGTCCCATGTGTGTGTCGTGTGTGTGTAGCAATGCTGGCGCGTGCATACCTCGTCGACGAGTGTGTCCTTGTTGACGGGCTTGAATGCGCTCTGTGCGACCTCGAACATGAGTGACCACTGCTTGCCCGGCTGTGGGACCATGTGCTCGCTGTAGTTGGACAGCACCGTGCACCGGTAGAAGGGCGCGTCGTCCTCGGGGAAATACATCCAAGCCTTGGACTTCAGGTGCGCTGACCACACACTCACACAGAGGGAGAGGCGCATGGACATTCCCCCTGGCCTGGCGTGTGTGCGGTGTGGCGGTGGGGTACCTGGTGGCTGTCCCTTGATGCCGAGCCCGATGATGTGTGAGGTTGAGTATCTGAAGTCGGGCGCCTTGTGCGCGAGCCCCTTGCCCGAGAGGCCCTGTGTGAGGGTGCAGAGGGTGTCGAGCTGCATCGTCGACACCAACGCGTCGTACTTCTCCACAGAACCGTCAGAAAACACCAACACCTGACACGCACGTGGACAGACAGACAGATAGACAGCAGGTGAGGGTGTGTGCATGCGAGGGTGCTGTGTCCTCCCTCCCTCCATCTCACTTTCTTTCTGGCATCGACAGACTTGACGGTCTTCTTGAACCTGAGCTTCTCCTGGGGCAGCTTGTCCGCCACTCTGACACACACACACACACACACACACAAGGATGCGCACTGACAAAAGTCTCCAACCTCCCTCCCTCCCTCCCTCGGTTGCCCCCTCCCTCACTCACCCCTTCCAGATGGCGCCGGTGCCTCCGTATTTTGGGTATCTGAACGTTGCGTTAGGCCCCCATCCGATGTCGTCTCTCTGGTGGACCACGTTGGAGAGGATCTTCTTGAGGTCCACCGGCGCCACGCGCTCCCCCATCCACTCGACGTTCATGTCCTTGGGATAGTGCGCCCACACCTTGAAGTTGTACGGGCCCAGGAACACGTCATAGATGCCTTAGGGAACAATACACACAACACACACAGATGGGAGATGGGAGGGCGGGGTCGGTTAAGTGTCAGTATGTCAGGCGAGCTCACCTTTGCCCATTTTCCTCATGAGCCACTCCTCGAAGTTCTTCGGGGGCGCGTCGTACGTGGCGTTCTGAATCTCTACCAAACCTGGCAGCAACACAACACACCACACCACACGCGCACACGCACATCAACACTCCCGCCCCCGGCTCCCCCTCCCTCCCTCCCTCCCTGGCTGTCGTCTGTCTGTCTGTCTGACCGTGGAGGCACTTCTCGAGGTCTTGTGGTGGGAGTCGGCCGATGTTGTTTTGCAGCGGGTAGGGGATGAACTTGCCGCGCATCCACACCCACGACTCGCGCTCGTGCGTGTTGTACTCGGCCACGGCCTGGTCAAGTACGTCGTCGAAGTACTTGTAGTGGCTGAAGATCACGTGGCCGCCCACATCCCACAGGAAACCCTTAACAAACACACACACACACAACACAGATGCAGATTGAGAGAGGTTGGTGCGTCTGGGACGTACCTGTGGGTCTTTGTATGTGTAGGCCAGCCCGCCGGCCTCATCGTAAGAGTCGAAAAGGACCCAGTTGTCGTACTGCAGCTCACTGAGACGCGTCGCAGCACCCAGCCCTGCACACACAGAGACCCAAACCGACACCATGCACACGAGATCTGTGTCGCGGCCC